CCATCCCTTTCTCTCTTCGCTCACCACCCCCTTCTCTCTTTCTCTTCATTCTCCACCCCTTTCTCTCTTCGTTCTCCACCCCTTTCTCTCTTCGTTCTTCACCCCCTTCTCTCTTCATTCTCCATCCCTTTCTCTCTTCGTTCTCCACCCCCTTCTCTCTCTCTCTTTGTTCTCCACCCCCTTCTCTCTTTGTTCTCCACCCCTTCTCTCTTTGTTCTCCACCCCTTCTCTCTTTGTTCTCCACTCATTTCTCTCTTCATTCTCCACCCCCTTCTTTCTTCGTTCTCCACCCCTTTCTCTCTTCGCTCTCCACCCCCTTCTCTCTTCGCTCTCCACCCCCTTCTCCCCTCCTCTCTTGGTTCTCCGTCCGTTCTCTCTTTGTTCTCCACTCCCTCCCCTGCCCACTTGCACTCTCCCTCTATCTCTTCCTCTCTTCTTCCCCCTTCCATTTATCGCCCTCCCTTCTTCCTTCCTGCTCTCCCAGCCCCCACACCCTCCCTCTCCCTTCTCCTCCTCCGTCCTTCCATGTCCTCTGTCGCAGACGGAGGCCATTCAGCCCACCATGCCTGTGCCGGTTCCATCCCTCCTAGTGTCCAATCTCCTGCCTTTCCCCCCACCATACCCCTGCACACCATTCCTATCCCAATACCCCTCCAATGCCCCTCTCCAATGCCTCAATTGAACCTGCCTCCCCCATGTTTCCAGGCAGTGCATTCCACACCCTAACCACTCGCTTAAATAAATAAATAATTTTCTCAAATCTCCTGTACTTTGTTTTAAATCTATTTCCCCTCTCGTTCTTATCCCTTCTACAAACAGGAACAGCTTCTCCCTCTCTCTGTCCAGCCCCTGCTACTGATTTTGAAAAATCTCTATCAGATCCCGCTCTTCTCTCCGAGGAGAACAGTCCCAACCTCTTCAATCTATCCTCATCGCTGACGTTTCTCATCCTGGGAACCGTTCTCGTAAAGCGCTCCTGCACCCTCTCTCCAATGCATTCACATCCTTCCTGTAACGTGGCATCCACAACTATGTGCAATACTCTAGCTGGGGTCTAACAGGTGTCTTGTACCAGGTCAACATCACCTCCCCTGCTCTTGCACTCTATCCCCCTATTAATAAAGCCGAAAATGCTGGCTATTTTCTTTACTGTTCTCTCCACTTGTCCTGCCACCTTCAGTGATCTGTGTTCCTACACCCCGAGCTCCCTCTGCTCCCTTTAGAATTGCACTCCCTATTTTATACTATGTTTCCATGCTTTTCTGACCAAAGCGCATCGCCTCACTCCTCTCTCTGCACTGAACCTCATCCGTGCCCTCTCTGCCCACTTGTCACCGTCCTTTCCTGAATTCCGCACTCGCGGTTTACAACCCTTCCGAAATTTATCGTCCTCCGCGAGCTGGGAAATTGCCCCGCCTGCACAGCAAGATCCAAACACGCTTTGAAACACTCCCATTCTCTGCGTAGCTGGCTCTTGTAAATGGCATCCGCTCGGGGCTGTTCCCATGTGACCCTCAACAAGGCCTCTATCTCTTTCGCCTCCAGCTCGCCTCTCTCCTTTAAGGACAGTACAGAATTGGGAATGAGTTGCATAGCAGATTATGGAGCACCTGTCTTTCCATTCCTGGCTGTCGGCGGATATCAAGGTGAGCAGTTCACTGAGAAAGGTTAGAAAGACCTTCCTCGCTTCCATAACGAATGTGTTCCTTGTGC